TTCTTCTTTGATACTACACCAAAACTCCACAAGTGGTAACTTATGAAAGATTACGGTATGAAAGCTCAAACTATTATCAATAAACCACCTGTACTCTAATGTATTAAAATCCATGAGTCTAGGGGTGCCTGGCTGGCTCGGTCTGTGCAGTGTGCCACTCTTGATCTCAGGGTTGTGAGTTCGAGCGCTCTGTTGGGTGTAGAGATTACTTAAAAATAAAATCTTAACAAAAAAAAAATGCATCGGTCTACCCTGTCCTTTGAATGAACTTTTTACCAATGTACAATTTTATTACAACAAAATTCTGCAGATCTTCTAAACGTCGACACATTACACAAAATTAAAAAAACTATCGTTAATATCACCACCAATCTAGTCAGAAACATTTTTTTTAATTTGGGGGAAACTGTCAAGCTCACGATGACACAAACAAGATTTCCAAAATTCTAGCTTTTGTCACAAAGTTCAAATTTATCATTTGGCCACCAAAGCTGTCAGCTGTTTTCCTTAAAGAGACAGGATCACTTCACGGTCAAGTTAAACGTCAAAACCCATGGTTCATCATCTGTTTTTTCAGATAAAAGAGCTCTGTGAGGAAAAACACTAGTGCAGTTCACAAATCGATCATACGTGTGCAACTTTTTAGTATACATGTGTACTTCCTCTGTTACCACGGCATATATAAGACATAAACTTGAGTCAAGATTAAAATGAACGTGTTTTAAGCGTTTCATCAAGAAATTTTGAAATGTACGTGTGTGATGAAGAAATGTAAGAACTCCTAGTACAATACGGTGCCTCTCTCTGCCTTGATTTTTCCTAAGGCACGAACAACATTCCCCACTAGAGCTTTCGCACCGTCAGTGCAAATGTCAACAGAGTAAGACACACAACGTTCCAGCACTATGATGAAAATCATTTGAATCTTACGTACTCCCTGAAAGGATCTCAGAGACACCCCTTCCCCCAGCTCCCACTGTGAGAATCGCTGGCACTACCATCCACCAGGCGGCCCCCGACCTATCCGTTAGAACTTCATGGACCTTTTTGACAGCCCCCAATAGGTGGGAGAAAAGCTATGGTCTCCCCCAAATCTTGTTAAATATCTCCTCCAGTAACTTCAACAACATTCTCTAAATGTTTTATGAAGGCTAGGCCACTGACAATGGTTACTCTCCTCAAAATCTTTTTATTGTAAGTGTGACAGCCAGAACTGAGCTCATGCAAATAATGATCTGCCCATCACAGGGTAGGGCAGAAATCAAAATATAGTTTCCAGAAGGGCATTATATTCTATTAATGCAATGGAAGAACCTTGCCAGGGTACATATGCAACATCTAGAGACATTTTCGGTTGTCACTACTGGAGAGATGGGGGGTAGGGCTCCCGAAATCCAGCAGGTTGAAGCCAGGGATGCTGTTAAACACCTTACAACAGGGGCGCCTGGGTGGTTCAGTCAGTTGAGCGTCCTATTTCGGCTCAAGTCATGATCTCATGGTTCATCAGTTTGAGCCCCGCGAAGGGCTCTGTGCTGACAGCTCAGAGCCTGGAGCCTGCTTCGGATTCTTCGACTCCTTCTCTCTCTGCCCATCCCCCGCTTGTGGCTCTGTCTCTCAAAAATTTGTTGTAAAAAAAAAAAAAAAAATTGGGGGGCGCCTGGGTGGTTCAGTCAGTTGAGCGTCCGACTTCAGCTCAGGTCATGATCTCACAGTTCGTGATTTTGAGCCCCGTGTAGGGCTCTGTGCTGACAGCTCAGAGCCTGGGAGATTCTGTGTCTCCCTCTCCCTGCTCCTCCCCCACTCACATTCTCTCTCTCTCTCTCTCTCTCTCAAAAATGAATAAAAACATTTAAAAATAAATAAATACGCAAACAGACACCTTACAACACACAAGACAGACCCCTCCAAAGAATTATCTGGCCATAAATGTCAACAATACCTACCAGGGAAACACTGTATTGATGGATCCTAAGATTACCAAAATTTCTGGAAGCTTCATCACCATGGCTTTTTTTTTTAATTTATTTATTTGTTTTGAGAGAGAGAGAGAGAGAGAGCGCGCGCGCGCGCGAACAAGTGCACTCAAGCAGGGGAGGGGCAGAGAGAGAAGAATCCCAAGCAAGCTCTGCTCTGTCAGACCAGAGCCCTAACATCCAGGAACCATGAGATCATGACCTGAGCCGAAGTCGGACGCTTAACCGACTCAGCCACCCAGGTGCCCCATCACCATGACTCTTAACTTGGACCAGCCTTTCAAAGTTACACACGCTATTACATATGCTTTTTAGACAAAACAGGAACACTTGTTCACAATGCTTTATAACGAACTTCAATACTCTTTGATTTAACCCATTCTGACAACTCACGTAAGGTCTATACACACTCCCACCCACCCAAATTTAACAGGACAGGCATCCCTAAACTGCAAGTGGAAATCAAACAAGATCTAGTCTGAAATCACAATTCACAGCTTCAAAGAAATGAAATGAAAGACAGTGTGACACCAGAACATGAAAAACAAAGAAAGCCAATCAATGTGGAAAAAGGCGTATTTAACTAAGCAGTCTGGTCTTTCTGTTGTTTACTTAAATGTATACTACGCTTATGGTTAAAAATGAAAGGGACAGCTAATGAAAAGCTGGCCATATTGTTAGCATTTCAAAAAACACACTGGGAAGCTAATCATCCATGTATGAATCTGCTGCCTTAACTCTGTCTTCCATTTTATACATTTGAACTTACTTCCAAAAACATTTTTGCTCTGAGGTCTTTAAAGAAAACGTACACCTCCCTTCCTCAAAGAATGCTGGGAAAAAGTAGGTGTAAAAGTATTTTTATTTTCTAAAGAGAAAGACACAACTATGTTATTTCTAATTAAAACCTTTCAAGGCATACATTTCCTATCACTGACCAATTTGTAACACTGCCATGATTATCATAAAGTTGCTTTTCAAGCACAGCAATAAGACGTGAGCTAACACAAAGAAGTCACATGGCATCACTAAAAACATTTAATTGCTGATCTGGAAAATACCACAAAAATCAGTGCTCCTAGTGCCTCTTTCCACCATTTCATTAAAAGGATGAATGAATCAATTAACAGGGATCTTGCAGATTCTAAGATTTTAGGTCTGCATATTTAATTAAAACTAGCAAATATTCTCATTACAGAAATGTTGACAGGTCCATTAAAAATGACAGGAGCGGGTGAGAAGGAGCATGAAATTCTTTTTAAAAATACTGTATAAAAAGCAATAGACGTCTTAAAGCCTGTGTCAAAGTTAGGGCCTCGGCTGTAGAGAGACACACACGCACACAAGTACACAGACCCATAAACTTGTAAAACTGTAATCAGTGATGTTTGCGAAAAAGAAATGGTCTTTACTTAAAAAATAAATAAATAAAATAAACCTATGGTGCTGTATTAAGTGTCTAGAAATCAGAAGACCTTTATTTTGCATTTAAGTAAAACTTCCAGTGTCAATTACATGCTTCATTTGGGGACCACAAAGAAGAAAATTCAGTCTAGTCTCAGAGGAGCACTCTCACACTTGAACCTTCATAAATGGAAGAAATGCAGTCTCACTATTTAGGCCTCGACACCGCTGTATATACGCAGAATGGAAAAACAAACAAAACAAAACACAACAACTGTAAGCGACTTCCGACCCCAACAATGAGCTCGCAGATTACATCTCATTCTTTGAAAGAGAAAGAAAATAGAAACTTTTTAAAACGCCCGACAAGGGAAGCAAGGGAGAAGACGCAGCCCTCGAGAGACCAGAAAGGCGGGGATGGACTGGCGTTAAGTCCACAATGAGAAAAATTTAAAGCACCACTAGAGACGGGAGGGAGAAGGCAAGCAGAATGAATCCGACTGCCCTATCAAAACAAAACAGAGCAACACCTAACAAAACGCGCTGCGGAGGACACACACCCTGGCGAGTGCCCCTTAGCCGAGTGGGGGAAAGCCTGGGGGCGGGGGGAGGGGGGGG